AAAAAAAAAAAAAAAAGTCAGATGTCAGATTTGGCCCTCATCCACAGTTTGCTAATCCCTGACCTGACCCCATTGTTCTTCAACTTTTTCCCCTGCTTCTCCTCACTTCTCTCAACCTCAGACTAAACTCCCAGCTATTCTCATGCCCATCACTATCCTCCACTCTCACCTGAAACACCCCCACCCCAATCACCCTCTCATCCTAACCCCATTTGGCTCTTGACTTCTTCTCCCTCCACCAGCCAACCTGGCAGAACCTCCTGGGAACTTCAAAAAGAGGCATATTCCATTTCCTGGAGGGCGTAACACAGTTATGTCCTTGATGATCTGTCTGAGATTACATTTCATTATATAATTGATTATATTGCATGATAATTACTCTGCTCCAAATCCTGCAATTACACGTAATGGTGACTGTGATTATGCACCCTACAGTTACACTGCCGTCCCTATCATCATTGTAACATATGCTAATAAACCATTCATGGGAGGTTGACATCAGCATCTGCCCCTGTCCCACCCCATTCCAAAGCCCCAGCTACACGCGTAGGTCTCCCTGCAGCTGGGCACACCCAAGGTGTCCACCCAAGTTCAAGTATGGAAAACAAAAGGGACCAGAGTTGTCTTGGTTTTCCTTCCCCTTCACTCTGGCAGCAGCCAGATGTGGAACCAGTTGGGGTTTCAGCATTCCCTTGTTCAGTGACAACCTTGAGGAGCTTTGGAAAGCCACTTCTTCAAGGTCGTCTCTGTAGAACCAGACTCAGTCCTGATCCTTTGTACCCAGAGATGGCAAACTTCAGCCCCTGGGCCAAATCTGACCCAGCCCTGGTTTTTGCAAATAAAGTTTTATTGGCACACAGCCAAGCTCATTCATTTATGTATTGCCTGTGGTTGTTTTTCAGGCTGCAATGGCAGCATTGAGTCATTGTGAATTTCCTGTATCAAACCCCTTTCTGTTAAAAGACCTCAAGTGGTTTCTGTTTTCCCACCTTGATCCATGACTGATACACTGTACTATGATATGTAACTATGTATCATATGACTGATACATCCATAGAGTCAGACACAATGGCAGCCCCTCCAAAGGATACTGTAGCAGTAGGCTAAATAATGTCCCCTCAGAGATATCCATGTGTGTTGCTCAGAATCTGTGGAT